GCAATCTGATATCCCAGTTAATCATTCGATACCTTCATAAACTTAAATCTTGAACTTGATCAAGCACTTGAACTTTTATTTATATTTTATATTCCAACCTGTTGTTGTTGGAAACGAAATTTATCAAATTTATCATCTCAAGTGATTAATTTAAAATCAGTGAAATAATTAATACGTGCAATATTATTATATAAAAAAATAAAAAATTCTATCAATATTAATATGCAAATATCGACAATTAATCGGAATAATAATTAATCATCGATTTTTATCGTGCAAAAATTATAACGGTCCATAAGATAATTTCACTTGAATCGAGATTGAAATTATATCGAATTTCAGAAATAGCCCATTATCGTGAAATTCAACGAGCGTTCGATGAATTAACGACACGATGAATTTGTTCTACATCTATACGAAAGGAGATAGGAGAGACGATAAAGAATTTTTTCGAGCGTTTTGGGGAGAGAGGGAATGAAAAGGGGATGGATACGGTGCGAAATGGCAGAATGCTTCATGTCACCACGTTTAGAATTTTAATAGCTGGTTGAGAACGATGAAATCGTGATTAATCGTTATCTATCGGTTTTTTCACGAGATTTTCTATTTTTCTTTTTTCTTTTTTTTTTGCCACGTTTGACATCTATGAATATTTTCTATTTTCCTGTCGAAAAATGTGTAATATTATTCGCTTAGTCTTTGATATATTTTTTTTAGAAATTCCATACCTTTGCGATGAAACGCATTGCGAAAACGAAATAATTGCGACTTTTTTAATTGAAAAAATTATATTTTCCACCCATTTTTGTTATATCGATTAAAAGAAAAAAAAATTCTATTGACCTTCCGTGGTATTTTGACGAACAACAACGGTGAAAATCGGTTTATGGATGGATTAATTGAAACGTTTGAAATAATAATCAAATTGATTCGTTTCATTAAAATAATGAAAATATAATTCTATGTTGCTGATATTTTATGAATTAAAATGCAATGTTGCTGACGATTCGTGATTCGTTAAAATTGTTTTTATCGTCATTGTCCATACGATAAAAGCATAAAAGAGATTGTCAATCATTTACACATTTTCTTTGTGAAACGAAAGAGTATTATTTCTGTTGATCGATTGTGTTATCTTCCTTCTCTTCTCAAACGTTTTAATTTTATTTCAATAAAAAATTTCCATAAAAGGGAATTTTCTCGATATTTTTCGATTCGTTAAATTTATTAATTCGAATTTGAAAATAATATTTTGAAAATAATATTTTGAAAATAAGAAAGGATAAATGGCAAATGGAAATAAATTTTGATTTTCGATAAATCGTCATTGAACGCTATTTCACGTAAAAAAAGTTTTACAAAAATCTGTATACAAAAAATTTCAACTCAAGCTGTTGACATAGGAAGATGTGTCATTTAAATATTCAACATCTGTCGTGCATTAATTTGAACAGAAAGCCAAGATAAACGGAATATTCATAAGAAGAACTTATTTTTATACGATATATCGAGTATGAAACTTGATTCAATGCTCGAAGTTTATCAGGAATTCTCATTTCAATCAAAAGATACAGCAGCTTCGAACGTGAATCGATTTCAAAACTTTAATTCAAGGGGTTACGAGTGTTGTGTTAAATGCAAATGAGATTTTTTTTGAATTGTTTTTACCCTATCGATAAAGTCGATTTAGAATTTCTAAAAGTTTAATTAGAATTTAAATTTAAATAGAATCACAAGCGCATAATGAATTCTTAAATTTATAGTTAAGTAAAGATAGTCTGATTGAAAAAATCATAATAAATTATACGGTTATTCTACTTGTTTAACAACAATGATCGTATATACTACTCGTCTGATCACGACAATCATTATTTTATTTATCTGTCAGTGAAAAAGTTAATTACAATTTAAAAGAATAAAAAATAATAAATATATAGTGTGTTACAATCAGAATCACTTGAAACTTAATTATTTATTTACTTGTCAGGATTGATGACAATTTAATTGATCGTCAATTTAGTAAGTTTCGACAGACTTTTAATCAGGAATTAATTAAGTCTTTAGCGATTTATCCATCCATTTGTTTGGCGAACAATGAGCGGATACATAATGAGGACTTGAAAAATTCTGTCAAAAGGATAAATTACAAATAAATAAACTTTTGTTGTCTTTTAATTACATACTTTCGTGTAAAAAAGTATGATTTATTTTTCATGCACGGTTGAGAAAGAGCAGCTAATTAATTTCTTTACCTCATTTAAAAATAATCCGTGTGATGTAATTACGAGCTCGTCATTTTTATTCTTTTATTTTCTTTTTTTATATCATCAAATATCGGATCAAGGCAGGTTTCATTCGAACGCTTTCACGAATATTCAACGGAATACGTAAAAGTAGCATTATCGTGCTAACAAATAAATACTCGTTATTGCCTACTCGAGCGATGCAATATTCCATTCAAAGTGTATTCATAAGCAGCATTCGGTATCGTTATTCTTAATCTTTTTCATTGGAAATCGATTCGTTGCAATGTAAAAAATAAAAATTAATAAGAGAATAACGACATAAAAGAAGTAAACGTTCCATTTTGTGGATGATCTACAATTGCAGGGTCGTAATTGTATTGCAATTTCTTTTAATTTATAAAAGAAATCTCATCTATAAAAATCGACATATAATAATCTACAATATCTCTTTCTGGAAAATTACTGTCACTGTTATTATTGTCATTGTTATTATTTTAAAATATGCAAAATTGATTTTTCAAATTTCATATTTATTTACAATTCATTTTTTTCTTTTGAAAAATTGTTAAGTTTTCTTCGAAAAGTAATTTGAATACTTATTCATCCCAAAATTCCACATATAACCGTATGTAATTACACAACGAAAGCTTCGTAATTTAGCCTCTTATCATATTTCACCGAATTTTCGGCCATCCATTACACGTATTGATACATATTGTTTCGAAATAAATCAAGCGGCCCATCCGACAGGCCTATAAATAATTATCTATTGTCGTATGATGGTCAGTTTGACATCGTTATTACAGCTCATCAGTTCACCTGATAATAGAGGCGAATGACGGGAACGGTCGAAGGCCTGGGAAAATGTGCAAATAATTTATGCTACGTGGCGTCGACATGCAACCCCGATTACGTTAGTAAGCAATTTTCCCTTTCATCGTCCACGCTCGTCTTTTGTGCCCATTAATCGAATTTCCTATGTTCATTCGTTCATTCATTCAACCCATTTAAGTCTTAATGATAATTATACCAACGAGTGGATTCAAATTCCACGATTTTCGTCGACTTTTGATTCTCCTTCGACGAATCGTCTTTTTTCTTTTTTTTTTTTTCTATCTTATTACGAGGTTTCAATCAAGTTAATTGACGATGATTATTAATCGAGCGATCGAAGAATGAATTCTTCTCTCGTTACGTTTTCAACGATCTTTAAAATTTGATAGCTCGCGTGATGAATGATGTAACCTCTTTTGCTATCGTGCTATCTTTGAAGAGTGATGAAACGATGCTCTGTTTTTTTTTTGGAATGGATCGATCTGTATTCGATAAAAATTCGATTCAAAGGAAATATTTTAAAAATATAAAATTGTCAGGAAAAAATTTTCAAGTTTTAGATTATTTGAGAAGATTTTACATTTTCGTAGATACAATTAATAACGAGTTGAGTATGAATTTTCAGGGAAGGTTTCGTATCACGGAAATTCTTAGACAGTTGCAGAAATTGTCATTTCCTTAACAGGAAATTACATTAATTAGAACAATGTTCTATCTCTATTTTGTATCGTGAAAGCGTCGAAACTTGGCTCCATTTTGTCCAGTGTTAATTTATCTGGTTGCTCGTTGATAACAAGCTTCGCGATTCTATTATCGTGCCTACCTTTGAGAACAATTCTTCACATTTGAAATACTTCTTCCTTTACAATAATTGAATCACATTAAAATAATTAATTTTTCAAAGTTAAAGGAACTGCTCGAGTTTGAAAAATGAAGTTTCTCGTTGTTCAATATTTTTCTCCGTTTTTTTTTTTTATATAATATATCTTCAAAGAAAAATAATTTTCATTTTTGAACAACGCGATACTTTTCATCTTCCTATGATTTCGCTGGTCCCATTGTTCTTTGTCAATATTTTGTTTCTACTCCCCAATATTACCCAAGCAATAGAAAAGATTCGAGATGGAAGATGTAGGTATATAGAAACTACGAACTCCTATATTCCTCTTTCATCTTTCGGTTTTTTCGATGCATCGATATCTGCAAGTTTCGTGAATGGAGATTTCTCGAAACTTATGCCTTACAGATGGCTGTAATTATTATAAAGATACCTTCTATCACAGATAAAAGAGAGTATCCTTTTGCTGGAGGTGGATTCTATTCTTGCTTATTATCGATTTATTATAGACATGTAAGAGGAATGGAATAAATGAAAAATTAAAAGAAATCGACACCGTGGCTTCGTCGTGTATTCTTTCTCGTTAAGGCGCGAGATTATGATCACTCGAACCGTGAAGATTGTTTGAATGTCGCTCTAATTTTTCTGAAAGCCAAATATATTCGATCGAATGATAGCAAAGAATAAGAAGAGCCAGAATATTTTATATTCTGTTTTATTAAACTGGAAATTCTTATCACTGGATAACTATTTGATATTAATCATCATATTATATTATTATAAAAATTGTCAATTTCACGGAGATGTAATCGTTAAAGCAATAATAATTGACGAAATAATTAACACGAATTCATCAATTTTCAGTGTGCAAACCTCTAAATACGATTAAAAAGATTAAAAATCGTTATTTCCACGAAATCCAACATCAATTATCGTAATAATTTCCTATACATCCAAAATGCAAAACATTATCTCAAAATTCAACATCATATATGATATTAATTATCATAATCCTCAAAAATCGTGTCTAAAATCGCGAAACAACGCGAAATGGAAAAGAATCTGCTCGCCCACTCACTCACCTTTTATAAAATCCACCGACATCTCGAGCCCGTACGTGTCGTTGTCGCAATCGTCGAGGATGTGAGCGCCGATTCTCACACCCGGCACGATATCCTGCGTGTTCAGCTTATCCAACGTGTAGAGCATCGCCTCCAACGCCTGCACCCCGCCCTGCGGCATCACCGGCCCGCACGTTAACCTGTCCTGCCTCTCGTGCACCATCATTAAACCGCCCAACACGAGATCGCCCTCGACCACCGCCTCCTTCTTCACAGGCCAAGACATTTGCTCGCGATTCGAATCCATGGATCTGAATTGCCGACGGCCGTGGCGAATCGGATGATGGGTTTCCGGGTTCTCGAATCGTAGAAAGGGTTCTCGTGCACGGATTCGATCATCGTAACTCCCGATCCTTCCTCCACGATCAAAAATCTCGACGAGATTCGTCAATTCTCGAGATTCGACCTCGTGATCGACCAACTCGTAATCGTCGCCGTTCCATCGAATCTCATCGAAGCTGTAATCGTCTTCGCCTGGCTGGGCGAAATGGGCCGAGCACGTGCAACCGAGCAGGACGAGCAGCAGAAGCTTCATGACTTCATAGTTGTGATTGGTTGGGATGGATGGTTGAATGGCCGCGGTTGGCCGGCGACACGTATCGATAAACTTGATCGAATTCAGATCACCGTTAACGCGCCTTGCCCCTTAACGAGATTCCGAATCTCGTGAATTCTCGTAGGCCATTCTACGTCCAGTTGCGATATATGGTTTCTTTTCACCAGGCTCGTGTCACGCATCATCGTGGTGATCTTGTCTGTTATCGGAGGGGGGAGAAGAGAGTTTCGATTTGTTTCAGTTTGGAAGGGAGAGTTGGATCGAGAGTGATAATTGTTCGCGATCGGAGATGGGAAGAGCGAAAGGGATGAATTTATTCGAGAATTTATTTGGGATCGATGTAATCGTTCGTTCCTTTTTAATCATTATGGTGAAAAGAATATATTTTGTTATTCTGTTTTTTTCTTTTTGGTTATTTATTTTATCGATAAATTTAAAGTTTCACCGATTAATCATTTTTATTATATAGAAAGAAATATGCTAGAGAAAAAATATTTTGCCGATTGTTTCTGTGATCTTCGATTGTTTGGAAAGCTTTTATCCTGATTATAAATATGAGTTTATAATAAATACGTGATTCGTACGTGAAGATGAATTGAAAGCCCATTTGGATTGAATTTTGATTAAAATTAGTGAACGGATTTCGTGAACGGGGCGCTCGTGTCAAGTTTGTTTTGTCATTCATATGCGATATAAAAGGTTCCACGATTGCAAATCATCGTCGAAGAGATTGAATATATTTGTAGTTTCGCGATTATCAGCGAAATCAGCAGCTTGAATTTCTCATCAGTTGACGCGTGTGCAATTTCCATTGTTAAATTTCCAATTCTCTACAATAATTTACGTATAAATGTATCGAATTTGTTTAAAATTCTTTTATTTAATCGGGCCATTTTATATAAAATTGAATAAATTTGTTGAACAAATTTTTAATTTACGAATTCAACCGATTAATTATCCGTTTTCTTACTCTCTGTCTCTCTAAATATTAATTTATCTTCTTAAACATCCTTATAGAAGTTTGAAGTATATTTATTCCAGGAATTTTTAGATTCGTTCGATCAAATTTTCTCAAGCGTTATTTTTCGATTTTATTCCCAATTGTCTATCGTTGATTTCGATTTTTCGAATAAAAAAATCAGTCAAAATTCTATTGGTTTCTTCTATTAGATAACTCTATAGCTTTGTACACAAAACTTCAAGTTACATATATATTTTTATTTATACATTAATACAAGGCAAATATTCATTCTTTTCTATTTGATTTCTCATCAATCGTTCGAAAAAACCCTATTGTTGGCAATGTTTGGAAAGCCGATTACATTGTACATAAAAGTGTTTTTCCAATACAAATACAAATATTAAAAAAAAAAATAATAATACATAAATTCGGAATGTACTTTGCTCGTATAGATTTTTTAATTTTTTAGTACGAAAAGTATAAATAATCCTCTTTAACAAAGCTCTATAACAATTCTCTATATATTTTTTTGTTCATTCAAATACATAAATTTTTGAAGATATTAAAAGATGAGAAAATTGTGTGTATCGTCAAATTCGAAACAAATTTTCTCATTCTATGTTGTTCGTACAATTACGAATGAATCTGCACTTGAGAGTCTGATTAATGGTAGTTCAAGTCACTTAGTTTCGATAATCTATTATCGTCCAAGTGTCTGTCTATTTAGAAGAATACAATTGCGATAAATCAATTCACTCAACTATCGACTCAATTTACTCTCTCTTCTCATCGCAAATTAAAATATTATAATAAAACAAGAAATACATCTTACATCTATTATACACTTAAACACAAAAACCCAATCGTCCATCATTTCCACTATTTTCTAGTGATCTTTTAACATATTGATCTCTATATAATTCCATACATTTGACTGCGTGCAATCCAATTCGAAATATAATTATATCTGACCGCATTTCTGACTGACATCACACGCGAGTCGAATAATTTCCCTTCGTAAGGCGATACGTATAAATATATAAAAAGATAGGAAGGAGAAAAAAAAAAAACTATCGAGATTCTTTGATTGGATAATCTTGGTCGAAAGTTGGCAGGGCCAAGTGGCGACGGAAGTTTAAATTGCTTGCGATTTTCATGGGGGTCGGCCCATATCGATAACGACCCAAGAACTAATTAAAAACTTCCACGCCTTGCGCTTCCGCATCTCGCCCTTCTACAACCCCCGTCGTCGTCCAACTTTCTTTTTCTATCCCGTTCGTACCATCGACGATCCCCTTCTCCTCGTGGTGATTCATTACCAAAGCTTACCTGTTGCTCCACCCTTTCCAACGGGCAAACGCGACCGGTGTCGCGTGTATTTCTCACCGATCCTCGCGTTTTTTGGGCTCGGCCCTCGCATTTTTGAAAACCTCGTGACCCGGAAGAACCGGATTGCGCTTACCTGTTGCGCTCCCGTGGAACACCGTGGAAAACCGGTGTGTTTCTGTTCCCGATGGAAACGATGGTGGATCGTCTAGGAAGTTGGACGAT